ACAGAAATATATAGCCTGTGTTCTGCTAGAGTGAATGTTTGGCTGAAAGGATCTTGTATTTACCCATCAAACACGATTCAGCAATATTATCATCAACATTTTATAACTAAAAATATATGCAAATTAGTTCAATAGTTGATTAATTTGAGATTTTATTTGGTTGAAACTCGTTCCAGAGACTTAACTCTATATCCTTTTAACATTTGAGCCAGATTGGTTAAATATTGAGGAAATATAAAAGGAACAAATAAATAAATATATAATACCATGACCTTTATATATTTAATTTATATATGCTGTACATTAGAACTTCCCTTTAGTGGACACCTCTCCACAAAGGACAGTTTTCATTTGCAAAATTAACATTTTTACAATTTAGCAACTCTTCGGTAAGAGGACACCTCTCCCTAAAGGACACTTTGGCTCTGTAATTAGGTGTTGTCCTTTACAGGGAGGTTCACCTGTATAACTGATTACACACACTCCCAATATCCAATTAGGTGATATTTCAATCACATCATTGTTACCCACACTTATTAGCTACTACTCAGTTCAATGTGCTGAATGATAGATGTATGCTAAAGTACTTCATTAAGTGTCCTTTCTACACTATTCATAGTTAGTGATACTGTTATGTCCCTGGATTTGACCATATCCTTTTTTTTTCACATTTTCATTATTTTTTATGACCCCCCCCCAAAAAAAGGAAAAACAGAGATGCTAATTAAAAGTGGGTAATCAGCAATGCAGCTAGTTTAATTAAAACATCTAGATTTTACACAAGTCAAGGCTATATCTCCCCACTTTCGAGGTCATTATTAGTGAAGTGGAGACTACTTGTGAAGTTTTACTCAGTTTGGGTTTCCCTTTAATCCAATTGTGACATAGTTACCAACCAATCATGTTGTTACACAGAAGGACTACATTATGGACCACCTCAAAGTTCTGGTGATTGGCGGAGGAGGCCGGGAACATGCCCTGGTGTGGAAGCTGGCCCAGAGCAGCCTGGTGGACAAGGTGTATGTTGCCCCAGGCAATGCTGGCACAGCCAAGGAGGACAAGACTACCAATGTTGGTGGTGAGTAGAAGGTGTGCAGCACCAATGTGGACTTGTATAACAAGTGAGGGTCACAGACCTGAAGGTGAAGGACCACCAGGCTGTGGCTGACTGGTGCCATCAGAACAACATCAACCTGGTGGTGGTGGGGCCTGAGGATCCCCTGGCAGAAGGTGAGTAACTCCAGTACTTGGTGCACATTCTGATGATGGTGCTACATCACAGTGAAACTGGTCACCTATCATTGTTCCAATATCTGTGAAAAAATAATTACAAAAAATAAAAAATTCAGGTGTTGGTATTAAAATCAAAGAAGGCATATCCTGACCACAAGTATATAAGCTTTTTAGATAGCAGAGCGCCATCTAGTGGAACAGAAATAACTAAACATTGTTTTAGCCTGTTCCTCAATATTTAGCCAACCCATTTTATTGATAAATCAAGAAACGTCAACCACGAATGCGTTTCAAGCTGTTGGCCCTCGTCAGTGTGTTGCAGGCTATACCTCTATGACCAAAAATGTTTTGGTTCCAGGGGCTTCTTTAGAAATAAAGAAATGGGTATTTAAGGCCAAACTTTTGTAAATACACAATATATATATACAGGGTGCTTCAAAAAAATGTATACACACTTTGAACTTCCATAGAAAATTTATTTACCGTTCTACAAAGTTAAATTTCAGGAAAATAGAAAACTGAAAGTCCAATATAAATGAAACATAAATAACAAATGTTAATACTGTTCAATTTGGTGACCTGCAGCATCAATACAATTCTGAGTACGAGTCACCACAGATTCTGTACATCGTATCAAAATGTCCAATGAGATTTCTCTACACACTGCTTGAATCTCATTCCAAAGAATGTCTAGGTTACGTGGTTTACGTTTGTACACCCCATCTTTTACTGTGCCCCACAAGAAGAAATCCAGTGGTGTAAGGTCTGGAGAGCGTGCTGGAAACTCTATTGGCCCCCTGCGTCCTATCCACTGGCCCGACAAATTTTTATCCAGCACGCTCTCCAGACCTTACACCACTGGATTTCTTCTTGTGGGGCACAGTAAAAGATGGGGTGTACAAACGTAAACCACGTAACCTAGACATTCTTTGGAATGAGATTCAAGCAGTGTGTAGAGAAATCTCATTGGACGTTTTGATACGATGTACAGAATCTGTGGTGACTCGTACTCAGAATTGTATTGATGCTGCAGGTCACCAAATTGAACAGTATTAACATTTGTTATTTATGTTTCATTTATATTGGACTTTCAGTTTTCTATTTTCCTGAAATTTAACTTTGTAGAACGGTAAATAAATTTTCTATGGAAGTTCAAAGTGTGTATACATTTTTTTGAAGCACCCTGTATATGCAGGTACAGTGTTTACCTAGTACTGGTGGTAGCCAGCCTCCTGAGATATTGCTTTACTCTATTAGATATAGTGGTATTTTTAAATGGCCTCTTCTACACACAAGTCTACTCATTTTATATGGGTTTGATAAGGCACAATTTGGATTATAGATTATAAAACAAGGTAATAAGACCAAATCCAAATATATAAATAGTGTGTGACGTTTCGGTAACAACGCTGTTACCGAAACGTCACACACTATTTATTTGGATTTGGTCTTATTACCTTGTTTTATATGGGTTTCTTTTTTCATCCTAACCCAACTAGTTTATAACCTATGGCCGCTGTCCTTCCCCATCTTAATCTCCACCACTTTCACCAAAATGTAAATCAGGAAAGATGGCTTCAAATTAAGAACAAATCAGCCGCTTTGTATATGAAGCAGCTTGACCTCAAGATTTGTGAAATGGTAAAAGAGTATAAAATTAAACCTGTAACCAGGCATCTTGACATCTTTTCTGGACATTTAAAAACCAAACCATTAAAATGTATAAACATAAATTTATCCTCTAGGTGTATACCTGCCTCACACAGAGATGTCCAGGAATCAAGGACTCCCTCTCAGCACAGGGCATCAAGTGCTTTGGTCCCTCCAAGGCTGCAGCTCAGTTGGAAGCCAGCAAAGCCTATTCTAAGGACTTCATGACCAGGCACCAGATCCCCACGGCTCGCTGGCAAGCCTTCACTGACCCTGCAGCTGCTAAACAGCACATACAGAGGTAAGTTTCACATCACCCTACGATGTTTGTTATTTAAAATTATACATAAGGAACCTCTCTTACAAGGGATGGAGACCGAATACATTAGAACCTCCCTTTAGTGGACACCTTGCTAGAGGACACCTCTCTATAAAGGACAGTTTTCATTTGCAAAATTACCATTTTTACTATTTAGCAAATCTCCGGTAAGAGGACACCTCTCCCTAAAGGACACTTTGGCTCTGCAATTAGGTGTTGTCCTTTACAGGGAGGTTCTACTGTACATGATGTCTCAGTATTAGCAAAAGTCTTGCTGGTGTAGTGGGTAGAGCTTGCATAGAACAAATGGTGCACACTTGTGGAAAAATAAATTACTCTTCTGATAAAGTATTCTTGGTAGTATTCCTCCCCAAGCATATATAAGGATGGTAAAACACGGGAACTGTCTAATGCTTCGGGCACACCCATCGGTTTCATTAAAAAGCTCACCAATCTGCTTAACAATAATGGATCCCCTGCACTTGTTTCCTGTGATGATCCTGAAACGCTGAGGAGCGCGATTACAGGGCTTTTAAAAACAGCGGCAGACCCATCTATACAAAACGACCTTACAAGAATGGATAAATCTAAGCTATACTCTCACTACAAAGACATTCACATATCTTTCATGACGGAGGGATACCTTTTAGGGAATTTTCCTTTCCCGGTTGTAAGACTATTCGCACAAGTTAGAATACTTTCAAGTTTTTTTAGAGAAAACCACACCAAGATGCTCTGCGGTGAGGACCCGATTTGTACCTTCTGTAATTCAAAACTAAAAAATGAAAGCACTCACTATATTTTCGATTGCTTTGCTCTGAAAGAAGAACCCTTATGCTCAAAACTGGGGAACTCTTTGCTTCACTTCCATCAATAATTGACAATATGACCCAGAATAAGTATATTGCTACGGCGTTTTATGGTTTCCACAAGTCCATATCTCAGAAGAAGGCCAAGTGACACTCACTCCTCACTTTCTTACTGCTACTCTTTTTGTGTTGTTTTTCTTGCTTCCCTCTTTCTTTTTCTTTTTTTTTTTCTTTTTATTCTGTCTATATCGTTATTTCCTTTGTCTCACTGCTTTGTTCTTATGCATACCTCTGGTGAATCCTGTATAGGGTCAGTGACCCTAAATAAAGGCTTTTTGTTGTTGTTGTTGTATATAAGGATGGTAACAATTCTGAAATGTCAGGTAGAGAATACTTAGTGGTTACCTGGCAAAACTTGAATGTTAAACATCGCCCAGATTTTGTTTCAATTCAATACTTCTCTCTGATGGTGGTAACAACACTGTTACCAAAATTTCACCCGTAGTTCATTAATTTGGATATAATTTTGTTGCCCTATGTCAAATGGGGAATAAGGCCCATAGATATTTGTCAATTACAGTTTATTTTCAAAAGGAAAGTTTCTGAGAAGCATATTCTTGTTTGTGTGCTCTAGGGGGTTCTTACTTTAGGTATCTTATTTGGGTTTTGTTCTTTCTCATTTTCTGTTTTCTCTGCAACTTTTACATTTGTTGGTCTTGAGAGATCATCCTTCAATGGTCAAACTGTTTTTTTTTTTTTGCTTATCCCTACTACACGTAGTACAGGCCATGATAATCATGGTGGGTAGAAGAAGGCGACTGCTTTTACTGTAAGTACACCAGATGGCTACACCTGTGAAAAGCAGTTGGTCAAACTGTACCTGGTGCCACCTGTGTATACAGCAGAGAGATCTGAGAAGTAAAATTTTACTGCGGTTGTACTAAATTTTCCCAAAATTCTAATTATCTAATTTGGATTTTGAAGAGTGAGAGTTTAGTTAAAACTAATGGATAAAACATCTGACTTTGGATCAGAAGATTGCAGGTTCTAATCCTGCTGCGGATATTTTTTTTTTTAGTTAAAAGCCTTCATATTTTCCAAGAAAAAAAAAGTTAATCAGATTTGAATAAGTAGGACTTTGGAATATTTGAATATACAGTTAAACCTGTCTATAGCACCCCCTCTCCATAGCACCCTATTTTGGTGAGTCCCAAGAGGGGGTGCTATAGACAGGTTTAACTGTATAACTAATTCTACTAGATTATATAAAAGGGCCTACCTGGATCTGTAAAGAAAAAAAAAAAAATAATAATAATAATTTTTTCTTTACAGATCCAGGTACGCCCTTTTATATAATCTTAATTAATGGATCGCCTTTTGACTCAAACTAATTCTACTAGAGTAAAAAAATAAAAGAGATGGGTGTGAGACATTGTTAGTGAGAGTCACAGCTAGGTGTTGACATACTTTGTGCAGTGCTGACTACAAAGCCCTGGTGGTGAAGGCCAGC